TGATACTAGCTCATCAAGAACAATGACCTTATCTCCCCCATTCATAGCTGTATCCTCAGCACCTCGAACAGTTCCCTGCACACAGTAGATGCTCAATGAATATTTGTTGAGTGAATGACTACCTCATGGAATGAATTTTTTTCCCTTTTCAGACTTAGCTTAAATGATGCAACTTGGAAAGGGCAGCTCCTGCCTAAGCAATACTTAGGGACCATTACAAAATGTATTGGGAACATGTTTCTTCAAGGGGATCATGTGCAAGTGGTAAGGTAAGAGGGTGGGTCTTCAAAGATTGGGGAGATATGGTCCCAAGTGGGTAGGTGTAGAAAATGTAGATGGGTCCTGGGCGGAAGATGGACAATTTCCTTTCCTGCTGTGGCTACAGGAACAGGAAACTTGGGACTCATTTGTATTTCTGGAATTTCTAATAATAAAAGTATAATACCAGCAGCAATAATGATAATAAATGTTTACCGAGTTCTCGCTTTGTACACTTTGCACTAGCCCTGTACTAAATGTTTATACTTCATTCTTCCCACATCCTTGTGAGAAGGTATCATCCTTACCTTACAGATGAGAAAAGGCAGACTCTGAAGGCTGAGTAATAAGACTTAGCACAGAGTTAGTGAGTGACTGAGTTGGGTTTTGAACCCAGATCCAACTAGTGCCCCACTGCACGTGCCCACTGCTGTCCTGAACTTAATTGTTTTTGGCTGTGCTGGGCTTTCTCTAGTTGCGGCAAGCGGAGGGTGGGTACTCTCTGGTTGCAGTGCATGGGCTTCTCGTTGGGGCAGCTTCTCTTGTTGGCAGAGCACGAGCTCCAGAGTGCCTGGCCTTTGGTAGTTATGTCAGTTGCCCCACAGTCTGTGGGACCTTCCCAGACCAGGGATCCAACCCATGTATCCAGCACTGGGCGAATTCTTAACCACTGGACCACCAAGGAAGTCTCTGGACTTATTTTTAAGTTTGGCTCTGTTGTTTCCTCCTCTGCTGATATGCAGGCAATGTTGGTCACTCAGTCATGTCCACCTGTTTGCGACCCCATGGACTGTAGCTCGTCAGACTCCTCTGTCCATGTAATTCTCCAGGTAAGAATACAGAGTGGGTTGTCATTCTCTTCTCTAGGGGATCTTCCCGACACAGGGATCAAAGCTGGGTTTCCTGCATTGCAGGCAGATTCTTTACCATCTGAGTCACCAAGGAAGCCCTACACATGTATATACTCCCCAAATCACATTGCATATCCTTCATTTACCCACCTCTTCTTGTCAATCTAACAAATACTGTTTAGTTAGTGCATTTGTTTCTGCCACACTTGAATTTTACATTCTGACCCCTTCTCCTTTAGCGTGCCCTGGCCACACATCTCAGTTTGTAAGTGAATCCCTTCCCAGTTGTTGTCAGTGATTTTCTATAGCAAATGTCTTAGAGAAGGTCTTCCACTGAGGACAGCGGGAACAAGAAACTCTCCAGGCCCTTACTTTGGATCTGTGAATGGAAAAGAAAGATGAGCCGCTCCCAGATTCCCCAGCCCCTTTGGTGGAGGTTCCAGCTGGCAGGGGCCGCCTCTATCCTTCTGCTTCATCCCTTCACTATACTTTAATACAGCAAAGCACAGCCACTGGCAACCAATCCCTGGCTGAGGAATCGCCACACCCATTTGATTATGGTTTTGAATTTCAGGTAAAGGTGCCAGCGCTGACAGCATCTGTATGGGGCTGTTGGCTTTGAAGGCCAAGGTTTGGCTCTTGTATGTCAGAGCAAGGTGTCCTGGGCAGCATATCTTCTTCCAGCCTTATGCTGCCAAGAAAGAGGCCTCTTCTTCTTCCTTCCCCTTTGTTTTACCCAGTTTATCCTGCCAGATTCTGTTTTTAAGATTTTTTAAATAAACTATATTTTAGAATAGTTTTAGATTTAGAGAAGAGTTGCAAAGATACAGAGGATTCTCATATACCAGACACCTAGTTCCCCCTATTGTTAACATCTTACATTGTTGTGTTACATATGTCGCAGCTAGTGAATTATTAACAATCAGTTCAGTTCAGTTCAGTCACTCAGTCGTGTCTGACTCTTTGCGACCCCATGAATCGCAGCATGCCAGGCCTCCCTGTCCATCACCAACTCCTGGAGTTTACTCAAACTCATGCCCATCGAGTTGGTGATGCCATCCAGCCATCTCATCCTCTGTCATCCCCTTCTCCTCCTGCCCCCAATCCCTCCCAGCATCAGGGTCTTTTCCAATGAGTCAACTCTTTGCATGAGGTGGCCAAAGTATTGGAGTTTCAGCTTCAGCATCAGTCCTTCCAATGAACACCCAGGACTGATCTCCTTTAGCATGGTCTGGTTAGATCTCCTTGCAGTCCAAGGGACTCTCAAGAGTCTCCTCCAACACCACAGTTCAAAAGCAACAATTCTTCAGCACTCAGCTTTCTTCACAGTCCAACTCTTACATCCATACATGACCACTGGAAAAACCATAGCCTTGACCAGACAGACCTATGTTGGCAAAGTAATGTCTCTGCTTTTTAATGTGCTGTCTAGGTTGGTCATAACTTTCCTTCCAAGGAGTAAGCGTCTTTTAATTTCATGGCTGCAGTCACCATCTGCAGTGATTTTGGAGCCCCAAAAAATAAAGTCTGACACTGTTTCCACTGTCTCTGCATCTATTTCCCATGAAGTGATGGGACCAGATGCCATGATCTTAGTTTTCTGAATGTTGAGCTTTAAGTCAACTTTTTCACTCTCCTCTTTCAATTTCATCAAGAGGCTTTTTAGTTCATCTTCACTTTCTGCCATAAGGGTGGTGTCATCTGCATATCTGAGGTTATTGATATTTCTCCCAGCCATCTTGATTCCAGCTTGTGCTTCATCCAGCCCAGCGTTTCTCATGATGTACTCTGCATATAAGTTAAATAAGCAGGGTGACAATATACAGCCTTGACGTACTCATTTTCCTATTTGGAACCAGTCTGTTTTTCCATGTACAGTTCTCACTGTTGGTTCCTGACCTGCATACAGGTTTCTCAAGAGGCAGGTCAGGTGGTCTGGTATTCCCATCTCTTTATTGTTAAATAATATCACTATTTTAATGAGATTCATTACTTTTTCCCTGTTCTGTTACAGAATTCATCTAGGATACCTCATCACACATTTAGTCATGATGTCTCCTCTGGGCTGTGAAAGTTTCTTAGACTTTTGTTGTTTCTGATGACCTTGGCAGTTTTGAGTAGAATTGGTCATGTATTCTGTAAGGGCTTCCCTGGTGGCTCAGATGGTAAAGAATCTGCCTGCAATGAGGGAGACCTGGGTTCGATCCCTGGGTCTGTAAGATCCCCTGGAAAAGAGAATGGCAACCCATTCCAGTATTCTTGCCTGGAGAATCCCATGGACAGAGGAACCTGACAGGCTACAGTCCATGGGGTTGCAAAGAGTTGGGCACAACTGAGTGACTAACACTTTCACTTTGATTCTATGAAATATTCTGCAATTTGGCCTAGTTTAAAGTTTATCTCATGATTAGATTGGGATTATGGGTTTTTAGAAAAGAGATCTCACAAGTAAGGTGCCATTACCATCATGTCTTATCAAGGGTGCATACTATTGACATGGTTTATCACTGTGGATGGTGATCTGGCTCCCCTAACTGAGGCAGTGTTTGACTGGGTTATCTCCTATAAAGATACTTTTCCCCCCATTTCCATACTTTCCTCTTTGGAAGGAAGTTATTATGTGTGGCCTACACTCAGGAGTGAGAAGCTATGCTCCACAATAAGATACTTAGAATTTTTATACAGAGATTTGTCTATTCTCCCCATGTATTTACTTAGTCAGTCATTCATTTATGTGAGTATGGAGTCATGGATATTCAGTACAAAATTTTTTTTTTTTTTACTACTTTATCTGTTGCTTATGTGGCTCCTGGTTTGACCATTGAAACTCTTTCAGATGACTCCTGTGTCCCTGTGACCTACCCCTTTCATTATTTGTGCATGTAGGTGGTTTTTAAATTTAGTACTTTCCTACTTTTTGGCACAGTAAGATGATCCAGGCTCATCTTGTATGTTTCCTGCCCTAACCCTAGAATCAGCCATTTCTCCAAGGATACTGGGTTCCTTTGATTGAAAAATGGTATTAGAAATCAAGATAGCAGCATTTTGTTTTATTTTATCCATTAAAAAACAAAACAAGCCATTAAAAAAGAAAGCAGCAATGAAAAGCAGTCTGGAGCAGGGTTGAAACACAGGTCAGCAGTGAAGAGGTGAAGTAACTGACTTACTCATATTTTTAGGGTGGAGAACTGAAATTAGAAACTTGTCTGTTGAACCATGGTACAAAGAGTGATTTGTTGGTATTGATCCATCACCTAGTCATCTCTCCCTTAATCCATAACAGCAAATTTCAGCTCCTCATTTGTGATTTCAAGTGAGCGACATTCAAGGTAGCTGCTTGTCACTACCAAAGAATGCACTCATCTGCACTCGTAGACTCCACTGCAGGAAACAAACCCTGAGAAGCATTTGGAAGACCAGCTCCTGCTTTCTTTGCCAGCAGGATCCACTGTGCTCTGTGAGCAGAAAGCTCAGCAGAGTAGCCAGAGCTTCAGAGCTGCTTACTGGCTGGCTGGCTGGAAAGCCCTGTCACAGGAACCCCAGGAGCACAGGGACTCAGACGGGGAGCTGACCCCACCCTGCATCCTGCCCTCAGGAGGCTTACAGGCTTCAACTCTTCACACCTCTGTGTGACCCACACCCGCTGCCTGACACAGTCATTTCCTGGGCGGCTCCACTGTAAGGACGGGGTGCAGAGCTCAGCTCTGGGTGTGATCCAAACTTGAGTCTTGATCATGAAACCGAATCTGAAGTTCAGCTTCCAAAGCAGCACAGTAGAAAATGTGGAAGCATGATGGAGTACCAGTGGTTAACTGAGCCCAGGAATGAGCCTGGGAAGGTGTAGGGAGCATCTCCAGATTTTTTATTGATTCCATGGGTTCTCTCTTGCAGCTGAAGTCCCGGGTTCTCATGACTCCTTTAGCCCTGTCTCCTCCACGGAGCACACCAGAGCCCGACCTCAGCTCCATCCCTCAGGATGCAGCCACCGTGCCCAGCTTGGCAGCCTCACAGGCTCTCACAGGTAGGTCAGGTGAATGAACTCCAAGGCTGTGATGACTTGCCCACCAGCTAAAGTTCTTTTGTGAACTAGCGAGCCGCCACCGAGATGGCTCAGATGAAGGATTTAATGTGTGTTAGCTGGACAACACATAGGATGACCGAATTCTCTGAGAACATCTATATAAATGTCTCACAGCCTGAATTATTTGCAGTTGGTTTTCAATGCTTCTTGAGTTCAGCTGGTTGCTGTGGGTGGATGGGGACTAGAAAGAGTGGTTGGTGGCCCAGCTTCTTCTCTTCAGAGACAGGTTAACTTTGTACCAGTAGTGAGCCTGCTCATCTCAAAGAGTTTCTGCCCCTGTGTTTGTGCCTCCAGATCTCCTAAGGATTCTAATGTCCCCCAGTCCCACCTAGTACCATCCAGTCCAGTCAGGGTAGAGCTCTGCCCAGTCTCTCTGATGGAGTGTCCACCAGTGGACCGACAGTTCCATCCCAAGAGTAACGGCAATAGGATGGTCTCTTTCTCTCTCTCTTACACACACACACAGAGATCCCCCTCATCACAAACCACCTCCAGCCCCATCCCACTTAAATTCCTTGGTGCCCTCCCCTTATTGTAAGGTAAAAACCAAACTTTGCAGTATGGCCTACAAGGCCCTGCTCTAGTCTTTAGGGCCCACCATAGGATCATTTCATATTGCCTCTTCTCTTTCTGGAATGATCTTTCCTCTGGTCACTCTCCCTTGTATCTCAGCTCAGGTAGTGGTGGTGGTTCAATCGCTCAGTCACGTCTGACTTTTGCGACCCCATGGACTACAGCCCATCAGCCTCCTCTGTCCATGGAATTTTCCAAGCAAGGATACTGGAGTCGGTAGCCATTTCGTACTCCAGGGGATCTTCCCAACTCAGCGACGGAACCCAGGTCTCCCACACTGCAGGCAGACGCTTTACCCTCTGAGCCACCAGAGAAGCCCCATCTCAGCTCAGGTACTTCCCTCAAAAAAGCCTTCACTGACTTTCCTGCCAGGGTTCCCAGGAAGAGCTCTTCTAGCCCCTCCCTAGTGTTTTGGCAGCCAAGGTCCCACATCACTTCCTGTAGTTCTCTGAGTAGATCAATCGCCCCTGCTGGGCCCTAAGCTCTCTGAAGCCTGGGATCCTGTAGATTTGGTTCACCATTTTCTCTGTAGGGCCTAGCACACTACTGCCTGGCATGAAAGTCCCTTATCAATTCGGTTTTACTGAATCATCTGGGCTTAGTAGGGGAGAAGGCAACCTGGTACAGTGAAAAGAGCACAGGTCATGACATCAGGAAGACGTGAGCTCAAATCCCTGTTGCACCACTAATCATACTTTCTGAGCAGCCACTTCACCACTTTTTACCTCAGTTCTTCATTACCAACAAAGTAATAATATTTAGTTCTCAGGTTTATTTTGAGAATCAAACAAGATAAAGTAGATTCGATGTCTGGATTGTATTAGTAGCTGCTCAGTAAAAACTAACCTTCTTCAACTCTATTACTGTTTAATCCTTCCAAAATTCTTTTGGTTTCCTCTTAAAGTCCCTCTTCAACACTCCTCTGCACCAGTGGCCCCCAAGGTAAGATGCTCGTACCTGGGCTGGGGACATGGGGAGACATGAGAGGAGTGATTAACCTGTGGAAGAAAATATGATGCCTACTATTAATGTTTCTTTTTATATCACCCTTTAAATTTTTCTGTTTTTTGATTGCATTTTAAATGTATGCAATACCTTAATGTGGTTGAGAATGTCTATAACCTATAAATAAATAAACACATTTGGGGACACATGCTCAGAAGTTCTTTTTTTTACCAGTATGATGTATTTAAAACTGCAGGAAGGACTCCCCTGGTGATCCAGTGGTTAAGAATCCACCTGCCAATGCAAGGGACACATGTTCAATCCTTGATCCAGGAAGATCCCACATGAGTCAGGGCAACTAAGCCTGTGTGCCACAACTACTGAACCCATGCTCCACAACAAGAGAAGCCACCGCAATGGGAAGCCAGTGTACTGAAACTGGAGGGTAGCCTGCATTCAGCAACAAAGACCCAGCACAACCAAAAATAAATTAAATTTTAAAGAAAAAAATTACGAAAAACTAAAACTACAGGGACTTTTGGTTGGGCTCACCTAAATGGACTACTGAGTGTTCATTATGCCTGAGGGTGTTGATAGAATTCTCTTTAGAACTTCATCGAATATATAGTCTTTGGAGTAATTAGCATCATGTTGATTTTTCTTTTTTTTTTTTAACTGAAGGTTAACAACAACAACGATGGCAAATGTCAAACATTTATGTATAGCTTGAGAGCTTCTTGGGAGGAGGAGGGAAGGTTGTTTTTTTTTTTTTAACTGAAAGATAATTGCTTTACCATGTTGCGTTGGTTTCTGCCACACAATATGAAGCAGCCATAAGTATACATCTGTCTCCTCCCTCCTGACCCTCTATCCCACTTCCCACTCCACCCCAACCCTTTAGGTCATCACTGAGCATCAGACTGAGCTCCCCGTGTTATGTAGCGACTTCCCACCAGCTATCTGTTTTACATATGGTAATGCATATGTTTCAGTGCTACTCTCTCAGTTTGCCCAGAGGGAAGATTTTATAAGTGTATATTCCCAGCATAGAAATACATTTATACACACAGCCCATAACTGTCTACGATTCAGATTTGAATACATCAGAAGGGACACACCTGTCTGTCTCTTCCCAACCAGGAGGCTTGTCTTGAGAGCAAGCCCTGGCAGTTGGAGGTGATTGATTCTCTTGTCTCTTTTACTTGTCAAGTTGGGAAGAATTGGTGCCACTTTGGCCTTTTCAGCTCTCCCAAGGACAGGGCCAAGGGGACATGGCTGTGGCATCGCGCCCCCCCCGGCCCCCCGGCCCCGCATACAGGAGCCGCTCCAGGCTTGATGTGCTTCCATGCTGAGGGCTTTGTGGGTCTGTTTCCACAGTCTGCCTCTACATCAACAAGCAAGCCAACGCGGGGCCGTACCTGGAGAGGAGGAAGGTGCAGCAGCTCCCCGAGCACTTTGGGCCTGAGCGGCCATCAGCAGTCCTGCAGCAGGCTGTGCAAGCGTGCATTGACTGTGCCCACCAGCAGAAGCTGGTCTTCTCCCTGGTCAAGCAGGGCTATGGTGGCGAGATGGTGTCAGGTAAGGCTCTGGAGTGGGCTGTATGAGGAGGGCAATGCAGGAGACCCCGGTTCAATTCCTGGGTTGGGAAGATCCCCTGGAAAAGGGATAGGCTACCTGCTCCAGTATTCTTGGGCTTCCCTGGTATCTCAGACAGTAAAGAATCCACCTGCAATGCAGGAGACCTGGGTTTAATCCCTGGGTTGGGAAGATCCCCTGAAGGAGGGCATGGCAACCTACTACAGTATTCTTGCCTGGAGAATCCCCATGGACAGAGGAGCCTGGCGGGCTACAGTCCGTGGGGTCGCAGAGAGTCAGACACGCCTGAATGACTAAGCATGGCATCCAGGGGTGTCTCCAAAGAGGACAGCAGCTGAATCAGGCTTGGGGGACTGTGGCCAGGGTTTCTCCCCATCTGCTGGGCTCCAGGGGCCTTAAATGAGCCTGTGTGCCAAAGGGGCTTGAGGAGAAGAGGCCCCCGGACCTGGGTGAGAGGACTGGACATCTGAATCCTCTTCCTTGACTTGCCCCTTTCTCTTATCTCCACTTCCAGTTCATCAATAAATCCTATTGTTCTAACTTCAAAATACATTCAGAATCCAGCCATTTTTCATGACCCACAGTAACCACTTTGGTTCTTTTCACATCTAAGCCAGATCATGCCTCTCCTCTGCTCTAAATCCTCAACAGTTCTCATGTCACTCCCAGAAAAAGTTCACATCCTTACAAGGGCTCCCAGGCCCCATGTGACCTGGCTCTGGTCACTTCTCTCTCTCTCTCTCTTTTTTTGGTCACTTCTCTTAAGTCCCCCACTTGACTCTGGCCACAGTGGCTTCCTTCTTATGCCCTCCAACCATGCTCCTCCTGCCTCAGGACCTTTACACCCGCTGTTCTCTCTTTCTGGAATGTTCTTTCTCCAACTGTCCATGTGGCTTGCTCCTAGACTTCCTTCAGATTTATATTCAAATGCCACCTTCTCAAAAATCCCTTTCCTGACTACCCTGTCTGACGTACCAACCCTTGTCACTATTTATTCTCCCTTCCTCCATTTCTTTCCTTTTTCATAGCACTTGTCACTGTGCAGGGACGTGGGGAAAGTTCATGGTCTCAACCTATCTCACAGGATATGTTTTTGCTTTTATTTAACAAGAGCTCAATCCCACCTCCCATTGTCAGCACACTCCTCCAGTTTCCATCCCAACTGAACAGCATCCAGAGGGAGGAGACGTTGTCACCACAAGGCAGAGGCAGACTTTGGAGCTCTGCCCCCTCCAGATGTTCCCCCGACAGAGACTCTGTTGTCTGTCTTCTCCACGTCTACAGTGGTTGTCACCACCTGCCCTTAAGCCCTGGGAGCTCCAGACCTTTGCAAGATGCTTTAAATCCAAGAGGAGAGCCTGGTGTCTTCTCTGGCCCAGCATCATGGACACAGCCTTCATATCACCAGGCAAAAGCGAGACAACTTTCCAGCCACAGGGCAGTACAGGTGACCCTGCTGGCTGGCTAAGAGAGGGTTCGAGAGAGGGGCCTCTAATGTGGCTGTGTCCTGTAAAACCAAAGCATGAGTGTTTTACTGGACAATCCCCAGGGCTTGCAGCATGGCTTCACCAGCTCATCCTGACTCAGACCTCCTTCTGGAGCTCCCTCTGAGAAGGAAGCTGGGTCTGTCTTGCTGGTAACTGATTAAAACAGAACTTGGCGAGGTCTGGGTGCATGTGTCTGACCTGGGGTGACTTCTAAGAGACTCCAGCCAATGTGGGCAGAAGAGAGGAGGAAGAAGAACTGCACCAAGAGAGATCCAAGAGGAGAGTCCCACTGTTAGACCTCTGAGGACTCCTTGGCTGCTCTTTCCTGATCTGAGAGCCAGGTTCTTGAACCTGGATTGCCCTCTGAGGTTGAAAGCCTTGTCCTTTTCCTGGCTATACAGCAGAGCTCAAGACACAGACCAGTGCTCAGAGAAAGCTCTTCCTGCACTCTGTGACCCTCCCTCTTGAGTGAATCCCACCCAGGTTCTTTGTGGCCCTGCCCTCTGTGCTGGGAGAGCAGACCCCTAACTCCCTGGTCTGCTGCTCAGCCCTTCTGTGGCCTCAGGGACCTCAGCACTGGCTAGGAGGTTCTGCAGAGCCTGGCACCAACGCCCGAGCAGGCAGAACCCTGCCAAGTTTCCCTTGGCCGAGGGATTCCCAAGAAGGCCAGAGTGGAGTGCCTGGTCTTGGAGAGTGCAGTGGCACTGAGGAGCCTCCTCCTTGAGGTTGCGAAGCAGCACAGTGGTCTTCCACATTTCTGGTGGTGATGTGGAAGCCCAGCAAGGTGACGACTGCTCCAAGGTGGTTTAGGGAGGGGCTTAAGGAGAAACACCCAGACTCCCCCACTCTCCACCTAGAACCTGAGCCTTCAGACACTGCTTTTTAAATATCCTCGTGGGCACAACGTGTAGAAAATGCTGACACTAGTGCGGGCATCGTGGACCCGAAGAACTCTAACTGCCATGGTTGGGCCTGGGCCACCCCAGAGGCTGAGGGGATCCATGTCACAGTACCACGGCCCATTCCTAGCACACCTGTTGGGGTGCTCTGCCTTAGCCATGTTCTCCCAGAGGAGTGGCTATTGTGATCTCACATATTACACGTCTGCTTCCAGGAGGTGGGATTTTTCCCACTGTGAGCTTCCAGGAATCTCTAGAAATGTGTACACGCTGATCTAAGGCACAGGCCTGATGCCCCAGACCCTCCTGCTGTGTGGTCAGTCTCCATCTCACCTAGTCTTTTAAAGTATGGGAGGTGAGCAGCAGTGCCCGCCCCCTCCCCACCCCCCACACCGCCCCCGCAAGAGGGAATTTCCAGCATGTCCCAGAGGTCAAGATCTTCCTTACTGAGCATCTTGGTAGCTCTCTGCTCACTCTCCCAATCAGAGTCATTATTATGGAGTATTAAAGTGACAGGCAAGTGCCACTTAGAGGCCACAGGAGCTGGAAAAAACACTCCGGGCTTCCTCAGTTTCCTCATCTACATTATGGGATCATAACCTTCCTCCCACTGTCCTCACAGGACAGTCAGATGGCATAAATGAGGTGATAGACATGAAAGCTCTTGTTAAATTATAAAAGGTTACACAAAAGAAATGATTCTTTTTATTTCTAGTTTAAATGGGTGTGTGTGTGTGACAGTTTGTTTTTCAGTTTTGAAGTCGTAGTTAGCTCTGGTCGCCCTGTCCCAGCCCTTGCAGTGTGCTAGCCTTTGGGAGCGAGACTATAGAAGTCCCGGCTAGCTTCCACATGTGGGCACAGAAGGCAGAGCCTGCGGGAGGAGGGGAGCGGAAGGTCCTGCTGGGGATCTTCTCATGTGTTCTCCACGCTGGAGCTGGCGTGTGAGCTTCCTGTGGCAACAGAATTCTGTGAAGAGGATTACACAAAGAAACAAGTTCTCAGCTGGAGGAACTGGGTGTTTCTTCAAAATTCTGGTAGCCCTAGAGAAATTGAGTGTGATCTAGCATCACTGCGGAGAGAACACCGTTGGAGTTCTTTTATAAAGACTCCTCCCCGGAAGGCTGAATGAACCCTGAACACTGGGTTGGAGTTGGACACCTCAGTATGAACTCATTTTTATTTGAATATACATATATATCTATATCTGGGCTTCCCTGGTGGCATGACGAATCTGCTTGCAGTGCAGGAGATGTGGGTTCAATCCCTGGGTCAAGAAGATACCCTGGATGAAGGCATAGCAACCCATTTCAGTATTCTTGCTGGGAAAATCCGGTGGACAGAGGAGCCTGGCAGGCTATAGTCCATAGGGTTGCAAAGAGTCGGACACTACCGAAGGGATGGAAAACACACATGCATGCGTGCATGCACACACACACACACACACACACACATCTAGACAGACATCTATCAAGACCCACCTTTGATCCATGTCTGTTTATCTAGAGTTGCTTAAAGAGTGAGGGTGTGTCATAGGGATGCAGGAGTTAATCTGCAAGCTCCCAAAAGATAAAAACTGGAGTAATTTAGCAGTAAAATAAATAACATAGTATTGGACAACCCGCAGTACAAAATAAATATATTGAGTCTACACTGATATTAATGAATAAGCAAATGAACAAGTGGAGGAGAAGGGACAAGTCTTCCTTATGGAAGAATTTCAGATTATATAGGGACTGTTCCCCCTTAAGGAGGTAGAGTTTAATCCCTCCATTGCCCTTGAATGTGGGTAGGACCATGTGACTTATTTCCCAGGAACAGAATATGAAGAATACAGTGGAGAAACATAGCAAATACTTTCTTGGCCAGGAGATGAAGGTTAACATCCCAGGGATGTCATGCGTCTATCTGATGCAAGGAGAAGGGCACTTTGCTTCTGCAGTCTTCCTTCTCAAAAACTCATGTGCAAGTGAGTGTTAGTTGCTCACTTGTGTTGAACTCTTTACGACCCCCTGGAGTGTAGCCCACCAGCCTCCTCTGTCCATGGAATTCTCCAGGTAAGAATACTGGAGTGGGTTGCCATTCTCTTCTGTAGGGGATCTTCCCAACCCAGGGATCGAACCACAGTCTCCTGCATTGCAGGTGGATTCTTTACTGTCTAAGCCATCAGGAAAGCCCCCCCAAAACCATAACCCCAGTCGAATCTTGAGAAAGATGTCAAACAAACCAAACTGAGGAACATTTGACAAATTATGTGATCAACACTCTTCAAGACTGTCAAGATCATGAAAAACAAGAAAAGACTGAGAAACAGTCACAGACCCGAGGATACCGAGTTCATGCAACACATACAGCCAGTGTGATCTCCTGAATGAGATCCTGGAACTGAAACAGGATGTTAGTGAAAAAACAGGTGCAATCCAAATAAAACTTAGTTTAAAGCACAGCAGAAGTGACCACACCAAGCCCTGTCCCCCAGGGCTGATGGGCGTGTGGCTTTCTCCAGAGTCCCGCTCTGAGTAGCTGTGTCTGTGCTTTTCCAGTCTCTGCCTCCTTTGATGGGAAGCAGCACTTGCGGAACCTGCCCGTGGTGAATAGCGTCGGGTACGTCCTCCGCTTCCTCACCAAGCTGTGCCGAAGCCTCCTATGTGACGACCTCTTCAGCCACCAGCCCTTCCCCAGGGGCACCAGCGCCTCTGACAATGCCCCGGAGAGCCAGGAAGGCAGGATGGAGTCAGGTAGGCTTTTGTGGTCTGTCCTCTGGGGCCTGCAGGTGGTTCCAGGGGTCCCCGCCCTCCCAGGGCAGATGAGGCTGCCACTGAGGGGGCTCCTGGGAACTCTAGGAACTAGAGGTTCATGAGCTGCCCCTCTGGGCATCTGAGGCCAGCGAGAGCCAGCTAGGACCAAGGACACCTCAATGGTCCCCACCCAGGCTGCAGTGGAAGAGATGGTTCCAGCTAGTGAGAGCTGACATTGTAACTTTTAGGCCTATGTTTTTAGAATTTAGACACTGAGACCGCATCACTCGTAATGAGTGATCTTTTTTCTTCTCCTCTAATTAAGACTCTTGGGCATTTATTCATCATTGTCGAATAAGTGAAGGACTACTAAGCTAAGTAACAAAGAAATCCTGAAGAAACAAGGGCTAACGAACTGATTATGTTGGTCCTGTCTGGGGGCCTCAGGTTCCTACCCAGGTCAATAAAAAGTGTAATAGAGTGTCTATCATGGCAGGAATTTGACCTGGCCATAAATCATATATGTCCTCCAGTGAGACTTAGTGTTTCTCCCTCATCACAGGACAGAAGGTATCCCAGGGGCTGAATGCCTTTTGTACCACCAGCCCCAGAATAGCTCAGTGTAGGAAAGTGGTTGGTGGGAAGGGCAAGGCCACAATGGACAAACTTGCCACACCACTGTCTGCCCAATGGGCTAGGTGCCAGTGGGAGCTGCTCATCCCCCACATAGTGGCCCTGAGTTATGGATTTGCAAAGAGTTGAACATGAGTCCAGATGCTAGATTTCAGGTTTCAAGGATGAGCAGGTCTGTTGCCTTTTTCCTTTCTCTGGAAGCAGTGTTGTTGATACATAAAGAACACATAGATAGTGAAACTGAAATCTAGCCATTATGTCATTCTGCAAACATTTGCTGACCCTTTTCCTGCTCCAAGTACCTTGTGAGACCCTGTCTTAGAATAAGGTAAATATGTGAGCTTAGGAAGTTTTTGAGGTATTGAGTGACCAGTGTGAATAATGAAAAAACCAATACATTTGCAGTTATGTGCTCACAGACAGGTTTAGAGAGTTCAGCAGAAGGACACTTATAATCAGAGTGGCTATATTTTAAGCCTAGGAGGACATCAGGAAAGATTGTTAGCATAGATTTTTCTCATATAATGTCAAGAACCTTGTCTATAATTTTACTTTAAATTCTGAGACCTGGGAAACAGGAAAAAAATCTGGCCTTTACAAAGAAAGTTACCTAATTAAATATAGCCTGTGTGAGCAGATGCTATACACTTCTGTGTTTTCTTGATGTCTCTATATATCTGAACTTAGGAAAGTCTTCTCATGTCTCTGGGCCTCAGATTCCTGTGTGAAATGAGGGGTTGAGTTTCTCATGTATAACCTTCTGGTTCTGACAGTCTATGAATCTGGCCTCTCCTATAAACCTTGGTTGACTCAAAAACATATTGTAAAGCTAATGTATCTTCCAGTGAATATTGCAATGAGAACAGCAGATGACTGATTTCATTTGACAAACTCTTAAGTCATTGTTACATTGAATAAGCAATGACCTATGGGACATAATCATAAAGTCATAGAGCTCATGTCTCCCATTCTCCTTGAAATAAATGTCACCTGTGAGACCACTTATTCCCTGTCCATGGATGAAATTTAGGGCAGATCTCCTGCCTTTCCTGGCTACTTTCAGAAAACAAAATATTCTTTAGTGAATAGTTAATATGCAGCTCAGTGTGATCATCAAACTTTAAATTTCACTCAAAGATGTAACTATTCCCCATTCCCAGCGCAGTCCTGCTTTGGGCCAGTTGCCTGCAGCAGCAAAGGAAGGTATGGTTGGCTTCTCTTCACCTTCTACCTGTTGCTGCTGCTGCTGCTGCTAAGTCACTTCAGTTGTGTCCGACTCAGTGCGACCCCACAGATGGCAGCCCACCAGGCTCCTCCGCCCCTGGGATTCTCCAGGCAAGAACACTGGAGTGGGTTGCCATTTCCTTCTCCAATGCATGACAGTGAAAAGGGAAAGTGAAGTGTCCGATTCTTAGCGAACCCATGGACTGCAGCCTAGCAGGCTCCTCTGTCCATGGGATTTTCCAAGCAAGAGAACTGGAGTGGGTTGCCATTGCCTTCTCCCACCTCCTGCCTAGTCCTCTGTTTTTGCCCCTTCTGTATGAAGCTAACAGTGATTCCAAATCTTTCCTGATCAGAGTGAGGGAAGGAGGAGAGACAAGAGGTAGGAGAGTTTTTGCTTGACTAATCCCACTGGGAGCATGCATGGGGCTCCTTGGTTCTAGTGGGTGTTTCAAGCTGATTCTTCATCCTGTGGGCTCTTGTTATTGTTCAGTTGCTTAAGTTGTGTCCAACTCTTTGAGACCCCATGAACTGCAGCACTCCAGGCTTGCCTGTCCTTCACTGTCTCCCTGAGTTTGCTCAAACTCATGTCCATTGAGTCAGTGATGCCATCCAACCATCTCATCCTGTATCATCCCCTTCTCCTCTTCACCTCTACTGTCCCAGCATCAGAGACTTTTCCAATGAGTCAGCTGTTCATGTCAGGTGCCCCAAGTATTGGAGTTTCAGCTTCAGCATAATTCCTTCCAATGAATATTCAGGGTTGATTTCCTTTAGGACTAACTGGTTTGATCTCCTTACTGTCCAAGGGACTTTCAAGAGTCTTCTCTGGCACCACAGTTTGAAAGCATCAATTCTTTGGTGCTCAGCCTTCTTTATGGCCCAACTCTCACATACATACATGACTTCTGGAAAAACCATAGATTTAACTATATGGACCTTTGTTGGCAAAGTGATGTCTCTGCTTTTTAATATACTGTCTAGATTTGTCATAGCTCTTCTTCTAAGGAGGAAGCATCTTCTAATTTCGTAGCTGCAGTCACTATCCGCATTGATTTTGGAGCCCAAGAAAATGAAATCTGACACTGTTTCCATGGGTCCTTTGGAGATTCCCCCATCTCTCATCTGCATGTTCCTTGTCAAAGACAAAGGTAACTTGAGTCTCTGGCTGGTCATTTACAGTTCTTCCCACAGCCTCAAGTCATCTGCAGGTAAATCTCTGGCTTCTCTCTCCTGAGGCCCCCTGTGACTCCAGATAGTCCCATAGAAAGGATCTAAGCTAATCTCACTTCAGATCTGGTCTCTTAGAAACACTCACACATCCTTTGCCCAAACAAATTTAGGGCATGCAGGCTGATCTCTGCAGCCACCTCTCCTTTGTTCTTCCAACAGACATTTTTTCTCATGAAAATGAAACAATAATACTTTCTGTCTCTTGAGCTCCAGGGTCAGAAATCAAGCTATCCACAGGGCCACACTGAAGCCCATGGGAACACATGGGACAGTTTTTTCTCCACAATTCATCTTCTATTCAACCTGCTTTTCAACCTCTGCAGTTGTGCAGGCTGCACGTGGGTGGTCATCTACAATTGTAAAACTGGCTTCCCACCACCCCCATCTCTCTTTGCAAGATTTCCACACTTGACTCTTGTATGGGGAGCCTACTGTCTTGCAACTTCAGCTAAAACTAAAACCAAAATAGTTTCATTTTAACATTCTGTCCCAGGAACCCCCATCCGGCTTTCCTTTAGTGATCATTGAGGAACCCCTTGCCTTGGTTTCCACCATATTCTCTCCCCTTCCAAACTCACCATGCTAAGTGTAGTTCCTGTCTTTTTCCTGAAAGTAGCCACCTTGTTTCTTCCTTTGACTGGGGCAAGTATTTCTACATAAAGCTGATTTCCTTCCTAGTTGTCTTGGCTTTGGAAGCAATGACTTCAGTTGTCATCAAGAACCTTTCCCCAGCCCATGGATGCTTCGAAAAATGAATTGCTCAAGATCAACCAACTTTGTGTAAATTGTTCCTCATGCCCTAGGTGTTACAGGACCAAGTGCTGTGTCTAGGGGCTTCAGGGAAGGTGGAAGAAGCGATGGCATGGTAGGCTCTGAGCAGCCCCCTGGCACATGTCTCTCCTACCTGTCTGCATGGGGCCTAGGATGATACCATTTAAGAGTTTGCCTTGAGAATAAGACATTGCCTCTTTAGGACTGCCTTGTCAAAGTTCCCTTGTGTGTGTGCTAAGTCACTTCAGTCATGTCCGACTCTTTGCGACCCTATGGACTGTAGCCCACGAGGCTCCTCTGTCAATGGGATTCTTAAGGCAAGAATACTGAAATGGGTTGCCATGCCCTTCTCCAGGGGACCTTCCTGGCCCAGAGATCAAACCTGTGTCTCTTATGTTTCCTGCATTGGCAGGTGAGTTCTTTACCACTAGTGCCACCTGGGAAGTCCCAAAGCTCCCTTGAAGGATAACGTATCAAGTTATTATTACCTTGGATGAGGAATTAGTTTATTACCCACTTTCCCACCATTGTGGCAAGAAATGCAGGTGTATTTATGAGGGAAGGGCTGGAGGTCTTTGTTGACTTAAGGCTTCGTATCCATGTCATTCCTAAACAAGATCATATAGTCTTGAACTCATTTGAACCAGATCCTGCTCTGCCTCAAGGTTGTTCATTTAAAGTTGGAGTGTTCCAGGCTTGGTGCCACACAGAGGGTTTGTTAGCATTCATTAGAGCATTTCCAGAAGACAGTACATCAGACAGTTAAGAAAATACAAAGCCAGGATACACAAGGAACTGTCAAAGAAACTAAGATGTTTGTGGTTTTAAAAAGAAAAGGATGATTTGGGGAAGAAATGATTTTCTGTTCTAGGATGTGACAGCAGGTCACATGCATTTGTTCTCTATGGTCCTGAAGATATACTTAATTAACCTTCAATCTTGTCACTCAAGTTCTGGTCAGGGAGCATCACCATCAGCTGAGAAACAAAAAGCTCAACAGCCCTCCCTCACTCCTTCGCAACAGATCCTAGACATTTAAAGACACATTAAAGTTTGAGAAGTATGTGTGTAAGGAACACTCTCCCAGGTAGAGGACTTGGCAGCTGAATAACAAAGTGGAACTCTCAGAAGACGGCTCCTTC